GTGATTGTGTCAGAATCTTGTTTTGTTCTTGGCACAGCCCGAGCACATTAAGTTCTTAAGCGATGATGTTGAATGCACAGTTTGCAGCATTTGTGATGACCGTTTGCATGTGATACAAAAACTACAGCACTCGCTACAGTAATTTCAATAAGGTGTCTTGATGCTCGACCCTTTGCTTACTCGGTAGTGCATGCAATCGATTTCTTGCAGATATGACAGACAAGTGTAAACGGAGGATACAACTTCTTGTCCTGTATTTTGCTTATCAGAAATTGATGTTTGACCACAAGAGCAGCTAGCGTATCCATCGGGCAATGCCAAAGACTGCAGAGCCTTCAGAGACGGCGACAGCCGAGGAAGGACTGTGCACATTTAGTTTTGTTTGGCCCTTGTATGCGTGCCGGACGAGATCTTTTCCATAGATTGTTGTTGAAGAAATGCAGTTGCAAAGTATGAGACCAGACTGAACCTGAGCTTGTGCCACGAAGGGTTCGCTGCAATCATTGCAGTGCATTCATCCGGACCTGAAAAACATTGGCCATGCAAGCTTGCAACTGCAGTAGTCTTGAAGCACATCAGTCACATGGTTTTGATCGCTGGGTTTGACTGACTCATTGATAGATCTATATATGGGCGAGCAACTTCAAATTGAAGAGCTTGTCAATCATGTCAATCTTTACTCTTCACATCTCTTTGCAATTTGTCAGAACTCGTGCTTCCGACAATTGATTTGCAGGCAGCGCAGAGCCAAAGCGTTTTTGAGCTGTTAGATGTGGCACGGCAGCATATTAGGAGTTGATCTAAAACCCCGTGTAAGGAGTTTTAGATAAAACCGTCTTTCAGATGTTGTTAAAAACCATCCGCGAAAGATTCGCGATGAGGTTCGCGAAAGTATCTTTTACCGCGAAAGATGTATCGAAGGTCATCGCTTTCATATGACTGACAAAAACTAGAAATACAAGGCAATCCTCCGGCAGAGCCGGTGGGCCGAAGTGTCCCCGCATGTCCCCATTGTCACAGACTAACGGTGACTAACGAACTGAAGCCTCAACATTTCCGTGCCCAGCCCTGGCAGTGCGTAAAGGATTCTCCGATTCCTGTCCCCACTGTCACAGACTAGCAACCTGAGTAGGCACAGCCCTGACAATGAGGCAACGGCCTGCAGCTGCTCTGACGGGCTGTGCAGATGTTTGCAAATGTTACGGCTTCGCGGGGAAAGCACCAGCGAAATTTCGTGAAAGATCCGCGAAAGCTTTGCGAGTGTGCCGCTAAAGTCCAGGTTCTTAGCTTGAGGCCCCCCAACATTCCCCAAGCTGCGTATGCGCTGGTAGCTGGCACGAAGTGGGTTGAGTTGTGCCTGATTCTATTTGGCACAATTGTCGCACAGATGCTGCAAGTGACCCTGAGCAGCTGTGGAAACTTTCAACCTTCTGCTCGGGTCATGCTGCAAGATGTTTGTCCCTATTTTGTTTTACCATGACATGTTCCGGCTCATGTTAGCTAGACATGGTTGTAGGTTGTAGGACCATGCTTCGCGATGAGGCTGCGAAAGATCCGCAATTTTTTCCGAGAAGAATGGCCACTCCAGGGTGACAAAGTATTGAATATTGGTCAACCACCACATCATGGTGATCATTGTTGGCTATTCATGCAGTCTTGTCCCAAGCAAATAAGACGCTGGAGTGGCTTTAATCCTCAAAAGCAGGCAGGCAAGTCACATAGTTGCATATATACGTATATATTTATGTAAAGCAAAGGGTACAAGAGGAGGGAAGATGTCAGCGATTAAGGCTGCTTAGTGAAGGGGTTATTCCAAGAGTCCAACAGACTAATGACCGTCAAACATTTTCAACTATTGCAATCTTCAGCCGACAAGGAGGTGATCCGCATTGATCGGAGTACCTTGATCAAGGCCGGGCTGCTGAACGTTCAACCTTTTCGATCAAGACACCATGCAGGTGCAGAACCCATATCCCATATACCCACAGTGTGCATCCTGTCATGGGGTTCTGGGATAGGTTGCAAGCAGTTTGTATTCTGTTTGGTTGCTGTTTGTTGGTTTTGTCGGCTTTCTATTGATCCAGCAAGAGGTACGTGATCGACAGTCAAGGGCATGCGTTCAACAGTGAAGTGAACATGTGACAGCAGGCAATTTCAAACTTCAAATAAGTGCTTCTTGCTTGGTCATTTGCATCGATCCAATGATCAAAATACACCTTCTTTTGCAAGCAACTGCGCTGTGAGCTCCAAAAATCCAAACAAATTCTTTGTTTTTAAGGGTTTGTTACCGACCAAAACAAGGAACGTCGTCTAGACGAATTCGGTGAGATGTGCTTGAAAGACCACGGCCGATTCCCGCTTTTGAACTAAATAGGGAAAGGATTTGCCACTCCCAATCAACATTGCTTGTGAGATCAAGTAATTTGGTGGCGATGCAACCATAGATAAGATTTTGGACTGGTTTGCTTCAACCTCTCATAGCAGCTGCTATGTTTGTTCCAACCACAGTGCTGACAGTGTCAGGGGTATAACTTATGACTGACAAGAAATGATGAAGTACAGGTTTATATAGAGCGTCAGATGGGTACACCAGTGGATGTTTTCCATTGTTTTCCTGCATTGACAAGCATTTCTTCCTGCAGATTTTGGCCTTTTGCGTGGCTGTCCTGCTGCTCATCAGTGGGACCCTTGTCTACCAGGAGGCCATGCCAAAGGATGGAAGCGAGCTTGTAGATGGCATGGTCGTTCGGGGAGAATGAATTGAACGAATGCACCACACTTTGTTTGGTCTCAGTTATATCATGTTATAATATCAGGAATTGTGGCCAACGAAAGTGCAGTGTTGTCCTACTATGCGGAGAAGATTTGCTTGATCAATTGTCGGGGGTTGAACAACGCTATTGGACTATTGGACATGTTGTTCCAGATCTGGAATGCAAGTGTGTCCTGCCAAGTGCCTCAATCTCAACATTCCAAACAGACCGCCCCGCCCTTGCTCCTCACAACAGCTGCAACATTTGTGCTCTTTCAAAGGAAGTTCTCTACAGCAAAGACATGCAAAGACAATGCTTGTGGTGCATGAGAAGAAAAGACCACTCTTCATTGCCGTCACTGTGAAGGTTCTCTACGATCTGACATACAAGAAACATGCTATCTCACAAAAAAAAACCAAAAAACACTGGGAGGTGCTTAGACAGATGCAGATGACCACACCACGACGAAACCACAGTCCTAAACCAACTCTTTCAAAAGCCTCTTTGGGTGGACTACTGAGGCAACATTCTATTGATCTTAGCAGTCTTAGCATTTGTGCTTGCTGGGATGTTCAAGCAACGAGAGTCATGTTGGTTGGCACCTGAAAGGACGGCGATTCATTTGAACCTACAAAGATCCTTAGAGCGTAGAACTTGCATTTGCTTGGCTTGCTTGCAGGTGGCAGCAGGCCGAAACCATTTAGCTGTAGTCTATGGCGGTGACGTCCTGAGAGTTTATCATGTTTTGCCTAGCTTTGCAGTGGTCACAATGCAATTGTCCAGCATTCCGACTCCTCTCACTGGAAGCTAGAAGGATCTAAGCCAGAATGTAACAAGTGCAATGCTGGCGATTGCTTTGCAAACAGGGGGCAATTCCACTCAAACTCTGTTTAGCTTGGCGCAGTAAGGCTTTTTTGTGCTGGTCCTCGGCTTGATCGCCTCAGTGGAGCACTCAATGGTGAAATCGTCATGTTGGCCGGACCGCCGAATATGACATCTCCATGCACATCTTGGAACGCCGCAACGCAACCGAGCACAGGGACATGTATCGGAGAATGGTTAATTTATTGGTTTTGTGGCTTGTGGCTTTGTTTGTTTGGCGTTTGCCTTTGTGGCGTTTGGTCTCTGTAGCATTGCTTGATTCAGCGGCTTCTGGTTGCTTTGTGCCTTCTTGGCGGGGGGGGGGGTAGCAAAAATCCGCGCGTAGGGGAAAGACTTACAACACAACAGCACCAGCAACAGGAACATCCACAGAGCACACCGGCTAAAGCCGGCGGATTTCGTCCGTTTCTGCGCCACAAGACCTGGACAAAATACAAAAAAGGACATCTAAGTTCATGTCCAGAGCCCACACAGCCCACAATTTTGGTCCGCTAGTGATATCAGATGCATGAAGGACAGGCTTTGGAAGATTTTGGAAGAGACTTCTGTCCCAACTTCCCAACTCATGTTGAAGCCTGCTACTTTTGTAGCATATTACACGGAGTTTTGATATGTCCGTTTCAAGATCTCTTGAACCACAGATCACAGCAGGAACATGCAGGAACCTTTTTTGACAGGTGGTCTTTGTGCTTCATGAAGCCTCGCAGCTGGAGGTCAAGGCATTTGCACAAATCAAATAACATCTCGGATCATTTTGGATATGCCACTCACTTACATGTGAGCTCGATGCGGACAAGACTTCGTCATCAGGCTGTGCGTGTTGGTTTTTCCCGTACTTGGCAGGACGAGAAAAAGACTGACTGAATGGGACAAGGTGAAAAAACGGGGCTTGACATTTGGCATTTGGATGCATTTGGTTCATGTGAGTACCCCAGGTGTCATTGACTACATCACATTGATGGTTCGTGTGGCTGAACTGTTGTTTTTGAGGAATTGGCTCTAAAGTACAAAGTTAGGCACAGATTGATTGATGTGCGGTTTGGCATGGCATGTGCTTGCAGAAAGCCTGTCATAACTCTCTTACTGTGGATCGGCTGCAGCAAATTACAGCACGGCAGCAGATGATAGCAGCGAACAGCAAGAAATCAACCGAGTTGCCGTTGTCACCCAATCATGATCCAAAGATCTTACATGATCTTACCATGACTAACTTGACCATCTTCAAACAAAGAAGCAAGAGGGTGATTCTTCATGACAATCACTTGCAAGAAAACACCCTAGGAAACAACAAAATGGGGCCCGAAAGGTGAGACGACCGGGTCCTGTTTAGGGCTTAGACATTCAGCTTAGCAGGCTTTAGCCCTGATGCGCGCGTTTGAGCAACAGCCATCCCCGAGACAGCGTTTCTTCATCGACCTGGCGGAGACCACGTTCCTCGATTAGCGTCCTTGCTCCTAGTAGTAAGGCCAGGAGCCCCTAGTAGCGTCCTTGCTAACAGTTGTTGGCACGCGCACTGGGTTTTCTTGCACTTTGATGTGAACCTGCACATGCAGTTCGTGGTGCCAAAACGTCGTGGGTCTATCAAGCGGGGACCCCGTAGTGCCCGTAGTTCGGCAACCCCAAACATGCAATTCTTAAAACGTATTTTGTAGGCGCAGGCGCAGGTGTGGGAAACTCGCATTTCCAAACTATCAAAATTGTACCATCGGAACAAATATTTACTGTAATTCTTCGATTTCAATTTCCGTTTCGGTGTGGGCTACTACCTGACTACCTGATCTGGAACCAGTTGTCCATGTAGTCTCACGCATAATAGGAATGACATGATTGAGCTCTTGTTTCTGCAGATCAAGGCTTGCAAGAAGACCGTGCTTTCCAGTCTAACAAGTTCAGTTTCAGGTTGCTTTCCCCAAAAGTGAGATGCCTCTTGTAAAATCTGTAACCGAGGCCAAGTGCTCCCAGCCGCCCGCCAGTCTACGGAAATGCGATTGTCGCAGCCTCCCCGCCAGTTCCCTGGCCTCCGCCCTTGGCCAGTACGCCAAGAGGAGCGGGTCAAAGGGAGGGTGAAAGGCAGATCCAACTTTGACAGAGTCAGAGATTCGTTTGAGGAATCCATTGTAGATCATTGTATTTATATAGTATATTTACATATTATATCATATTATATATAACCATATAGGTGATTGAACGGTGTTTTCTGTTGACTCTTTTCTGCATCTTTCTGCTGAATGCTGCAGAATCATGTCGGCAGGGTGAACAGTGATGTCATTTGGGAGAAATCCCTCACCATCCCAACATAATTTCTATTTTCACCAACTCCAAAAGCTGAAGCACCGTGGTGGGACGGAAACAGCTGCGGCTTACCTCTGATGACTTACAGCGCGTTTGACACCCTGTAGACTAGAAGACCCAGCCGTTCCCGTGGCAACATCACACTCTGATCGAGACCTTGACAATAAATTACAACACAGTCTAGGTGGCCCTAGTAGCGAATCCCTTTCTTACTAGTAGCTTCTTGCTCCTAGTAGTAAGGCCAGGAGCGCCTAGTAGCGCCCTTGCTCGTAGTAGCGATGCCAAGTTAGTGGTTGGTTCCATTATTAGTTCCCTCGATCTTGCGAGCTCATAACGCCAAACAAGCACTCCTGTTGATGACAGAACTGCAAATGCTGTTGCCAAATGTTGCCAACAGGCCAAGACTGTATGTTGATGTGTTGACCTCACGGTCTCACGTATGACGTCAATGAGCTATACAACTCATAACATCTTATAACTCTATATGACTGCATAGGTTGCAGGCCATCGCCATCGCTATTAGGTTGGATTCCATTGCTTCTAGGCTTGCAATGCCTTGTGAAAGCGCAGGTCTCCATGGGGCACGGCTCCGGCAAGCTCACTCTCCTCGACCGTACTCTGTGGCACGCCATGCTGTGGCCACGGTCACTGGGCACCCGAGAGCCTTTGCCTCGCCTTTGCCGGGCTACACCTTGCAATCGCCCAGACGACTTGCGCCGCAGGAGGTCTACGAAATGAACCCCAGGACCTTTCGTAAATGGGTTCGTACATCGTACGTTCGGTGCTTTTGATTTGCAATGTTTGAAGTCATAAAGGAATGGTTTGGTGTAGATACCGCCACCGAAGGAGTCCCAGGCAGCCTGTTGGCGAGCAAGGAGTTCCGGCTGTGCCAGTCCGGCGCTTCCAGCAAGTGCATGTGGCCCCACCGCGAGAGAACGGCGTGAGTTTGGATCAGGGCCAAGGCATGGCCGCGCCTGTTCCAGCTCCGCCACTGGAGGCACCAGGAACTCTGGTACCTGGGAGACTCGGCGAAATAGAATACATAGCTGACTTTTTTTTAAAGGCCCGCTCCTAGTTAATCAAGTAGGCGCCTACTTGGTTATATATATAATGTTGTATAATTAAGGGAGGAGTAAGCTACTAGGCTAAATTAGCTTCTAGTAGCTGGACGCAGGATAGCTCACGCTTCTTTGAGGGCGGGGAGTGAAGTGCTCGCGCTTAGATTGTTTTGGGGAAACTTAAGTAGGTCTTTCTAGGACCTCAGCCTGAGCATTCTACAGCGAGGGTTGTGGCCTGCACCTTTGTAGTTAGACCCCCTGTACTGAGCTCCAAGTGAGGACTGAGCTCCAAGTTGGCTACCTGCGGTTGAGATGCGAAGAGCTCTTAGGCCTTGAGGGAATCCTAACTGGCTGATTGCTGCCTTGATTTGCATGGTTGGCAGGTGGTGGTTTTACATCATGTGGTCTCAAGCACATTACCTATATAAAATGAATTTGCTTGTCTTTGTGGGGTGGCCTTGTTTGCTCTTGTGCATGAGGACCAATCCATGGAACACACAGTTTTTTGCGCAACGATGGAGGCAGCGGCTCTTATAGCACTGTTTGGTTAGCCAAAGTCGTCAGGAGCTCAACTCAAGATCCACCTGCGAACAATGAGCTGGCACCGAAATTGGAATGAAACACTCCACTCAAGAAGTTAAGATAAGACGATGAAACCCACCTTAGTACAACTGCAGCTTGGTTGAGGTGCCTCAGCGACAAAGTAGCGCAAAGCTTCAGGCAGTTTGTGTGCGTGAATCTGTGGTTCAAGTTCTAGTGTCGTTCTCAACACCCAGGCATACAAACCATGTTTGGGTATATATCAAAGTTAGTCAAGCTAAGGGAACCAACAGTGTTTAGAGGTGAGGCGTGTGCGAGATGTGGCTTTCCTTGAAATAGACTGCGGCAAGCTATGGAGAAAGGAGCTTTTCGTTTGACAGGTCCACGGATCAGAACTTATCTTGGCAAGTCTTGGCCTGCCAGGAGAATCAAGAGGAAGTCAAGTCTGTGGCACTAAAGGACCAGATGTATGAAGTTTGCAGATGGCTTAGCTTGTTGACATAAAACTTTAGACTCGTTCAGCCGAGCACACTCCCATGTCATGCCCATGATAACTGAAGATGTGTAAGTACGACGAGGCTCTTTGATCTCTGTGTAAACTGAACACAAGTTCGATTGTACGACTAGTAGCTTCTTGTTGCTAGTAGTAAGGCCAGGAGCCCCCCTAGTAGCGTCCTTGCTCCTAGTAGCGATGCCCTTGTTCCTAGGATGTTGTTTTCTAACAGGATGTGTTCTGCCGGGGCGAAGCTGCACTCCAGCAGTCCCTATTCGAGGCTGGATTCTGGTTTCAGGAGTCCGGAGTTTCACCACAGTTTGCTGATTGGCAGAAGCAGCAATTCAGCTTTGGACAGGTGCAACTTCTGATGGCTGTGGAGTGCCCTGGCAAATCGGATGCTGAGAAGTGAATTGGGGCACCTCACACCGCCTATCTACAAAACTTGACTTGTCCTTGCGTGTGTTTTTTTTACAGTATATAATTAAGAAATTTTGGTGGAAGTATTTTTGTTCAAAAACACTGCTGCAGATGTTTTTGTCAACTATGCTAGACTCAAAAAACTGTCATTCTTTGGTGGACCATTCTTGCATGGCCGTTTCCGGTGCAAACATATTTTGTCCAACAGCTTTAGTTAATTCTTTGGAATACCGTATACCCAGTAGACAGTAGATACTTGAATGCCCGGAGTGTTTCGTGTTTGTATTAGGGCTGAAGGTCCCAGGATCGATGTGATTTGCACATTTAACTTGTCTTACCGGTGACTTGTCCAGTCTTTTTGGCGTTGAATGAATGAGTGATTGCCAGATTCCGCTTGTGCAGGCGGCGGATGTCTCGCAACAAGGCAGAGGTGTCGCCTCCTCGGCTACCAAGATGTCTTACCTACCAGGCAGAGCCTGGGGTTTTAAAGAAACTGCTCAAGCGTACAAGGCACAAATGCTAGAGAAAGGATTTGGATTGTTTGATATTGACGTCTCTCCAATGCAAGCTTCACACTAGGCCTGTGAATGGAGTGTCCATTGAAAATCGGAACAGAAGACTTTGCATGGGGGTCAGTTGCGGTTTGTCTACAGTTCCACAAACGCTTGCAGTTGCAGTAATATGTTGGGCATGTTTGTGGAATATTGAACGTGCTCAATTTGTTCATGCTTTTAGTTGGTTCAAGCATTCTTTGGGTTTCTGTTCAGCATCAACGGCTGTCAGGTAGATGCCTCCGAAGAAGGTTGGAGCGTCCGGATGGCCTTGACAAGGCTAAAAGGTGAGCAACTTGATGGCTGGCCACTTGGCTGCCCATAAGTTGTAAGGGTCTTGCGTGTTCTTGGGCCCGAAAGAAGTTCTTGGCATTCTGATCGGCGTAATCGCCTAGGGCCCTTGTGTGTCATGTACAATAATGATACATATACATTATACTAATTCCGTTTTGAACAATATGTCTTGGCCGGTTGGATTTAAATTTATGTTATTCACAAGGGACAAGATGGACAAGGGATTATTTTTGTTGACCAGCTGTTTTTGTGGTTTTCTTGCACTGGTTGCCTCCCAGCTGTTCGGCTCTAGAGGGGTCGAAGTGGAGTCCCACTGTGATGACTGCAAGCTGTGCAAACTTTGTGTTCTATTAGTCTCAGCTGTTCTGTTTGTAAACATGTTCTTGGTCCTAGGGCCCAAAGAGTTTATGAACATTGAATCACTGAATCTCTCCAAAAGAGGTGATGCATGCAAACCAATGCCTGAGGTTGCAACGCAGCTGCGAAGTCAATGGCGGTCACTTTCAAAGGTCGGGCTTGAAGCGGTGTTTCTGGTCCAAAGTTCAAGTGCGGTTGCCGAAGTCATTTCGCGCCCCTTTCAATTCCGTTGCCCGTGTCATTCAACATAGATTCGTTAATCAGAGGAGACACAATATGCTTTGTCACCACTGTACAGCGCTTGTGAAACGCCCTGAATCCTGAGTTTGCTATCATTGCTATGCCTTGGGCGAGGCCATGGACGGATCAGCTCCATGGCGGCTGCATCCTTGCCAGGTGCCCGCGAGTTTATAGCACAACAGGAATGCGACAACATGCCAGAACAACAAGTGCAAGAACGACATACAGCAAGATGAGACTTTGTAAACTTTGTTGATGTTCAAACACTGCTCAAGCAAAAACAGGTTCAGGTTGACTGTATCATGGATTGTCGTCTATGTTTGATCAGCAATAACACCAGCTGATGTACCAGAAGACGGTGCTGGCACATCGCCACTTCATGCCATTTCGGCTGTTGCACTTGCTGCGAATGAGATGTTTATGTATGGCTACAATCATAATTATAACTTATAACTGTATAACTGTACAGTACCACATCATTAAGGTCAAAACCTTCTTGATTCTGCACTGGATTCAAGAATCTGCGTCATCTATGCTGTCACAGGCAGTTGCTCCAGCAGCTGGGCCCGACCTTGCAGAACCTGGCGCGCTTTGTCGGTGTTGATATGTGCAGCGTAAGCGCGGCATATTCGCAGATAGGATTGACAAGCTTGTATAAGCTTGAGGAGCTTAGTTTGTCCACCAATCCCTGCTTAGATGCATCAGCTAATATCAGCTACCGTGGCAGCCAATGTGTTTGTTTCTCTAGCTGGTTGATTCATTGTGTCCCACACCAACAGTGTAATTCTACCTGGGCGTGACGCAGCCGCCAAAATTTTCTTGGCAGATGTTTTCAAAAGCAGATGCGGCCAACATGCTTCAGTTTCAGTTTCAGTGACATGGCTCAGACAAACCCTTTTCCACCCACGAGCTTCCCAGGCTAACCACGAGGGTGATTGCACGATAACATGATAGCATTTGTTGGGTACCATTTGTGGGCAGGTGTGTTCATTGCCACATTGTTTGTTCAGAATTCAATAAATTAAAGCTTTCAACATTCTCACGATGGCTGGCGACAAGACCTACTTTCAAAATGGAAACTTGACGGCGGCATTCCAGAACCAGGCTGGAAAAACGCCGGTGTGAGATTTGAGGATTTATGCGATTAGTGATTAGTGTTGGAGATGGACATTTGGAAACAAAACCCTGTCCATTCAGGAGATTTGCGTTGCCCAGTGGTAATGTGGTTTGCAGGGCCTAGCCCCACAAATGTGTAAGTTTTATGAAGTGAGAGGCTTGTGACCATGGAAGCAAATGGAACCAAGCATTAACTTGAGAAAGGGGAGACCAACAATTGAGTCAAGCATAGCCTAGCAATCAGGCATTATCTACTACTAGCGATGGCCTCCAACCTAATAGCGATGGCCTCCAACCTTTGCATAGCCTAGGTGTGTAGCATAGCCAACGCCTGAAAACACTGACCAGGGCATGGCACCTGGAAGCCTGGTTGGGGCGTCATCGCCATGCGTGCGGGTCTTCGTGGCTGGTGCTGTGACACATGTTGGAGCCGCGACCAGTAAGCCGTCACAGTGTCGGTTGGTGATTGATTTCAAATGGGAGTTATATAAACAAATGGACTCCTTACTAGTAAGGCACCTGTTACTACTAGCGTGGCACTTGTTTCTACTAGCTTCTTGCTACTACTAGTAAGGCACTTGCTCCTAGTAGCGAGGTTGGGATTTGGGAGTTAAACAAATGGACTCCTTTAGACTCTAGTAGTAACAAGTGCCACGCTAGTAGTAACAGGTGCGTTACTAGTAGTAACAAGAAGCTACCAGGAACAAGTGCCTCGCTACTAGGAGCAAGTGCCTTACTAGTAGTAACAAGAAGCTAGTAGAAACAATTGGACTCCTTTAGACTCTAGACACTTGAATATAGGAGAGTAGTTTGGTACTTGTGGATTGCAGCTGTGTGATGGAACGATTGGAACGATCCTCACAAAGGCCCAATGAAGAGGACATCAACATTTATGTTCAACTACCATGAAGGCTGTGAGGAATTGAATGAGATTGTTGTCACAAGCATGCCCAAGCTTGGGAACATGATAATGGAGATTCATTGATTAGTATTTTGCGTTGATTGATGCGCCCAGGAAAGACATCTGTGTGTTTGGGCTTGCTGGCTGCCTTGAGAAATAGTGGATTGAAGGTGGGCCGAGCGAACCAATGTCATTCACTATCTATGTGTATTTGTCGGGCAAACAATAATTTAGTAGATAGATAGACCAAGAGGAACTTGGACATCTAACCATTGAGAAACTGTATCACCATGCGGGCACTATCCTGACTGCAATTGTGACTACTAGCCACTAGGACACTGCATTGCGGGGCGGTTGCTTGTTTTTGCACGCGGGAGTATCTTATGAACACAATCTTATGCATATATATATATTTATTTATTAGTATTTGGTCATGTGTGTGTATATTTGTAATGACTGCTCTAGCAGACTGTTTGTTGAGGCATTTGTTTAGAACACAGCGACTCGCACATGGCCTTGCTTTGATTGAGTTTTGACAATATGTTATGTTTTCTGGAGAATCAGATGACGTTTGTTTGGAGCATTCGTTTCGCAGCAGGTGTAGCAGGTCTTTTGAATGGCCGGTTCCTTCAACAGCCGCGAGGTTGTTGGATGTAGGAGAGGTGCGGCATTCTCACTGTGTGTGTGTACAGATGTTGACCGTGTCCAATCTGGCAACCCTTTCAGCGCTTCAGAATGACTGCAACCCACCCCACCCCACTCCCCACCCCCGACCCCCCACCCCCCCACCC